TTGCTTCTCAAGCTGCCCCTAGCCTGACAGCCTGGCTTGATCAAAGGAGAGGAAGGATTCCCAGCGGGCTCACCTGCAGGGCCAGTGAAGGATAAAACGAGAGAGACAGAGAAAGAGGTCAGAAATTGACAGGGGAGTGCAAAGGGTTAATGGGTCAGCCTCTGGGTGGGAGCAGGAGACTTTGCCTTCTGGAAAGGACAGTGTGTGTGTGTGTGTGTGTGTGTGTGTGTGTGTGTGTGTGTGGGAGTGGGGTTGTGACATCAGCACTTCCTGTCTGATTATCTCTGACTCAGCGTGTGCTAATGAGCTTGACCGGTGACCTCTCCCTCCCCCAGGGAGCGATTTGCATATCTCTGGCCATAATTCCGGAGTAGGGGAAGGGGGCAGCAGCAGGGGGGAGATGCACTGCTCTGCTGTCGCCTTATCGGCCGGATGGAAACATTTTTTTATTTATTCCCCTGCTTTTTAAGCCATTTTATTTTGCACCTGGGGTTGTAATGCGATCCAGCTGGGGCACGTTGAAGGGGGTGGGGAGAGAGAGAGAGAAATGAAGACCATGGCTATAGCCAATCTGATGAACTGGCAATTTGGGTACGCTTTGCTTCCTACAGAACTTTAGGACTCACTAGTTGAGCTCTGTTTAGCACAGATATAAGGAGATGATGGGAGGATTTCCTGGGCTTGCTGCTTCCGGGACCCCAGCAATCTGGAGGGCAGGAGAGGCAGGACAAAGAGACCCACTTATTTGTGGAGTCCATTTAAAATATGACATTTGACATCTCTCCGGTGCTTCTTTGCAAAGCACACCACATATATATAAGTGTTTTATATGTGGAACTGTTTCTAAACGTTTGCATTGCTTTTGCATATGGGATTGTTTTCCTTATTTATACTTGTATACTTTGTTGATGCAACCCACCTTGGGACCTTATGGTAAAAGGTGGGTAAGCAATAAAATAACCTGCTGCTGGCAAATGTCTATCACGGGAGACAAAGGAGTGCACCTTGGGGGTGAAGTCAAACAGCTGTATTAGCAGCACTGAAGTGACTTCCCCAGGGCACAAGCCTGGGCTGTGTGAATGGAGGTCTTGGGCTGTCCAGGCAACAAGACCCCCCTCTCAGCGTCGCTGATGTGGTCCAAAGGAAAGCAGATCAATATGTTTGGTACCAGCTTGGCTGCAGGAGCTGCCAGAAGGAGTCATACAAAGCATCATCCCAACTGCCTTAGGAACTCCACTCCGGATTTGTGTAGGATTTATTCCTTAGCCTTTTCTTTTCTTCTCTCAAAGATGTCCCACAAGGCAGTGGAGTTTTAGGACCAGCATTTTCCTTCTCCTAGATGGGCCGCCTTCCTAGGTTGATGAGCCCCATCTGCCCCTCACTTTCCTCTGCAGCATGTTCAGAAACCTCCTTCTTGCTTGCTGGACCCACTATCGAACTTCTCCACCAGAGCATGTCTTTGCTGGCTGGGGAGGTCCCTAACTCACTGAGGGTTTGAGACCCATTGGCTACCCTCACCTGGTTTAGCCAGCCAATCAAAGCCATTCCCCAGGGTGTGGCCTCTGTCACATGCTGACAGCTTCTAGGAGCCACAGGTGAGAGCTGAGTGCAGGGTGGGAACCAAAGGTGGGCAAACTACCCCAGAAGGAGCATGAAAAACAACAATACATTCTGTAATCTGTAAGTGTCAGTGTGGCGTATTGGTTGGAGTGTTGGACTAGGATTTGGGGGTAAAGGTAAAGGTAAAAGTAAAGGGACCCCTGACCATTAGGTCCAGTCGTGGCTGACTCTGGGGTTGCAGCGCTCATCTCGCTTTATTGGCCGTGGGAGCCGGTGTACAGCTTCAGGTCATGTGGCCAGCATGACTAAGCCGCTTCTGGTGAACCAGAGCAGCACACGGAAATGCCGTTTACCTTCCTGCCGGAGTGGTACCTATTTATCTACTTGCACTCTGACGTGCTTTCGAACTGCTAGGTTGGCAGGAGCAGGGACCGAGCAACGGGAGCTCACTGCATTGCGGGGATTCAAACTGCCAACCTTCTGATCGGCAAATCCTAGGCTCTGTGGTTTAACCCACAGCGCCACCCACATCCCCACAGGATCTGGGGGACCGAGGGTTCAAATCCTTGCTCAGCCATGAAGCTCCATAGGTGAACTTGGGCCAGTCACTCTCTCTCAGCTTAACCTACCTTGCAGGGCTGCTGTTGGAATCTAAATGATGAGGGGGGAGAACAATGTACGCCACCCTGAGCTCCCTGTAGAAAAAGGTGGGATATAAATGCAATACATACTGTAAGTTAAATAAATAAATATTCTTACGACAACTCTGCGAAGTAGGTCAATATTAGTATCATCCCCAGAGGGCAACTAATAGAGGAATCGTAGCATTGCTGCACAGAAATCAGAACTGTTCGCCTAGAACAGTTCCTTTCATGGAACAGAATATGTGGGATGCCAATCTTCTACCAAGCAAGGAAACAAACAAACAAACAAATGGACTCAGCGCGCGGCATGAGGTCACACCTGTGGCAGTGAAACTTGCTTGTCCTCACAGGATTTACCAGCTTCTGAAGATTCATTGACGAGCTCAGTATGACTTTGATTTTCCTGTAAACTGTCCTGGAAAATTTTATTTGAAACTTTAAAAAAAGAGAAGGAAAGTTTAAGCAAATATTCTCAGGGCGAGTCAAACATGGCAGGTAATACTTTGGAGATTTGAGTGCAATGATGGGGAACCTCAGGGAAGAGGAGGCAAATGTGGCCTAAGAACTCTCACCAGGCCACACCTCCTCTTTAGCCACACCCTTCCTTGCCAGGCCACACCCCTCACTAGCCTTGCTTCTTACCCTCCTTGAGCATTTTTGCCTGGTTACAGTGAATCCTTGAACTCTGATTGTGCTTCTTGGATGGAGGACAGAGAGGGCTATGCTGAGCACATGGCAACAAGCCTAACATGCAAAGGTATCCAGTGCTTTACCAACTGCACTGGCTCCCAGTGGAGTACAGGGTCAGGTTTAAGGTGCTGATTTTGACCTTTGAAGCCCTATGCAGCTTAGTACCCACATACCTACGGGACTGACTCTGCTGGTATGCCCCGTGGAGGTCCTTAAGGTCCACAAATGACAACATTTTGGAGGTCCCAAGTTACAAAGTGGTTAGATTGGTTTCAGCTAGGGCCAGGGCCTTTTCAGTACTGGCCCCGACTTGGTGGAATGCTCTGTCACAAGAGACTAGGGCCTTGCAGGACTTGACATCTTTCCGCAGGGCCTGCAAGACAGAGCTGTTCCCCCTAGCCTTTGGTCTGGACTCAGTCTGACCCTTATGTTCCTCCCCTTGTGGTTTTGATCTATGGGGCTACTTTTAAAATGAGGCTGCATTTTAAATTGCATTTTAACCTGTATTTCAAATTGGTTTTTTCCCTCCTATTATGTTTTTACTGTAATTTTACTGGTGTTAGCCGTCCTGAGCCCAGCTATGGCCAGGGACGACGGGGTATAAATAAAATTTATTTTTATTTTTATGAAAATTAAAACTGTTGCTCCACCCACTTTAGCCTCTGGCACCGCCCGCCACTGCCAGAGACCTTTCAGTTCCCTCTGCCCACAATTTCAGAGTGCTCAGAAAATAACTTTGGGTGGAGTCTGCCTTTCTAGCTGCCATGAATCCCATGGAAACATTTGGAGGGGCTATTTGGATCAGGAAGAGTCATGGAGGCTGGGCTAGGCTGTGTCTTGGCCCTGGCATCTCCTGGCATCTCCTGGACAAGAAATTGGAGGCTGGGATAGGCTGTGTCTTGGCCCTGGCATCTCCTGGGGCAACTTGATTGGCTTTAAAAGTGGGTTGGACAAATTCCCAAAGGAGGAGACTATTGATAACTACAAGCCACAATGGCTATGCTCTGCCTCCTCCAGCAATGCCTCTGAATACCAGTTGCTGGAAACCACAGGAGAGGAGAGAGCTGTTGTGCTCAGGTCCCGCTTGCGGGCTTCCCATAAGGGAACCCAGGTGGACAATATGATAACAGGGTGCTGAACAAGATGGGCCATTGGCCTGATCCAGCAGGCTCTTCTTATGATCATATCTGATCATTTCAAGGTGATCTAGCTGGCGATCATCAAAGGTGATTTTCAGAGAACTGTGACCAAATCATTGCCAAGTTCCTACTGTCAACACAGTGGAACCTGCCACTTGTGGAGTCAAATCTCTTTCTCTCTCTCCATCTCCCTCTCCCTCCTACCCACTTTTCCTTTCATTTCCTGGCCGAGGATCAGGGGAGAAGATTAGGTTATCTGATAGGTAAAATTATCGCATCGGAGGTAAGAGCTGTAATGAAAGGCCATCACGGGGACCTGGTTTTGTGATATTCCTGGGAAGTCTCCATTCACTTGGAAGCTTTTACTGGGGGGAAAGAATGACTACTAGTCCCTATGGAAACCTAGCTTTACAAAAGCCCCACGCTCCCACAGAAGAGGGGTAGAGGGGGGAGTATAATGAGAGCAGGAGAAGTTTTCTTTTGAAATGCAATTTGGTTGCATTCAGCTTTTTTGGAAGCAGTCAGCCCTGTTGATTCTTCCAAACATGTTGGAAGATTCAAGGTCAAGATTTTGCAGCACGTTCGTTAAAATCCGAAAAGATGAAACAAGGTTGTTGTTGCTGTTTCATCTTGCTCTATTAAGTTGTCAGCATGGGGGGTGGGGGAGGGAACAAAGCAGTTCTTGGATTTTTTTCTTCTTCCTTTCTTTTTGAAATTTCAATCCTTAGTTGGATTCTTTCCAAGTGGCTACAGAAGGAACTTTCCTCATTATCTAACAGAGTGGCAGGCAGTATATGGTGTAACTCAGCAGTGAGCGACATAACAACAGAGTTATTATGAAGTTCTTGGCTTGGCCAGTGATTGGTTTTCAAAGGAAACTGCCATTAGCTGATCTAGCTCAATAATGTCTACACTGACTGGCAGTGGCTCTACGATGTTTCAGGCAGGGGACATTCCCAGCCTTACCTGGGGATGCCGATGATTGAACCTGGGACCTTCTGCATGCAAGACGGATGCTCTACCACTGAGCTATGACTTTCCCTTGTGTAAGGCAGCTTGCTAGGCCTTCCTTGTCTGTGTACAACGTATTAACCAATACGCTACACTTATAAAGCAGAGACATCACCTTGCCAACAAAGATCCGTATAGTTAAAGCTATGGTTTTCCCAGTAGTGATGTATGGAAGTGAGAGCTGGACCATAAAGAAGGCTGATCGCCGAAGAATTGATGCTTTTGAATTATGGTGCTGGAGGAGACTCTTGAGAGTCCCATGGACTGCAAGAAGATCAAACCTATCCATTCTGAAGGAAATCAGCCCTGAGTGCTCACTGGAAGGACAGATCCTGAAGCTGAGGCTCCAATACTTTAGACACCTCATGAGAAGAGAAGACTCCCTGGAAAAGACCCTGATGTTGGGAAAGATTGAGGGCACAAGGAGAAGGGGACGACAGAGGATGAGATGGTTGGACAGTGTTCTCGAAGCTACCAGCATGAGTTTGACCAAACTGCGGGAGGCAGTGGAAGACAGGAGTGCCTGGCGTGCTCTGGTCCATGGGGTCACGAAGAGTCGGACACGACTAAACAACAACACACTGGTGAAAACACAACGGCAAACTTCTTGGACTTTGGTCTGATCCCACAAGGCAGTCCTTACATTTTGGGAAAGAGAGATCATAGCGTCCCAAACAAACGTCCAAGTCACGAGTAAGCTGGCACATGCTGAATTGCAGGCAAGGCTCTGTCAGATCATGCTTTCTCACTCTTCAAGAGAAAGATTCTGCTTGAAGCCAGCCTTGAATAAATGGGCTGTGTGCATCTCAACTGAACTCCTCCGAAAAACTCAGTAAATATTCCGGAGATGGTTAATGATGTCCTGGTTCATTCCGTTCCCCCTTTGCCTGTAACCTCTGTGGATCCTTCCAGCTCTGCCTGCACCTGGGCTTTTATTACTTGCTTTTAAATGGGGTTTGCTGAGCGAATTAAGTGGGGCCTCCCAACAGATGTGTGTCTCCCCACCCCACATGCATTTGAAGCTGACTGGCCTTGGCTGGAAGAACACACCTGCAGCAGGAGCCCGTCCTTGTCTTGCAGGTGCCCAAGGCCAACCCTTCCATTACGAAGAATCATAGAATTGTAGAGTTTCAAGCGACCCCCGAGGGTCATCTAGTACAACTACCTGCAAGGCAGGGATTTCAGCAAAAGCATGCATCACAGATGGTCATCCAGCCTCCGCTTATAAACCTCCAAGGAAGCAGAGTCCAAGGAGAGGTGATTCCACTGTGAGACAGTGGCTTCAGGTGCTGGGTGGGTGGGTGGGAGGGAGGGAGGGAGGAAGTTCATTCTAGGGGTGCATTCCAGGACAGAGGTGCTCAAACTGCCATCTGGCAGCTCCATACCGGCAAGGTGACTGTGAAAAAAGGCAAAGTCTATGCTAGGGGTCATTGGGGAAAGAATTGCAAATAAAACCACCCATAACATAATATCATTACAGCTGCAAATCATGTCTCTGTTGTATCTGTGTCTACAGCCGCAGTAAGCACTGTAACTCTCCAACGATTTGTTTTTGTTTTTTTAAATGCATTTTCCAGTTTTCATTGTACAATGTGCTCATTTCATCTTATATCATTTCTATACAGACCGCCCAACCTAACCTTCAGTGGTATTTTAACAAAACCTTAATTCGCTGCATCTTCATTAATTTCTCCTCCCTATTTTATGTCTATCACATCCTTTGTTTTAGTTCACTGTTGTTCAAATAATTACCCCTACAGTGGACGCTCAGGTTGCAAACGTGATCCAGGCGGGAAGCACGTTCACAACCTGCAGCATTCGCAACCCACAGCGCTGCATGTGCGCACGCACGGGTCACGATTCAGTGCTTCTGTGCATGCGCAAAGCACGATTTAGTGCTTCTGTGCATGCACAAGCGCTGAAACCCGGAAGTAACCAGTTCTGGTACTTCCGGGTTCGGCACGGTGCGCAACCCAAAATCGCACAACCCAAAGCGTCTGTAACCCGAGGTATGACTGTACTTGTAGATGGACTGTAATATCATTGCTTTTTAAATATTCTCTAAGGTATTCCCACCCTCCAGTGATTTGACTTCACCCGCAAAGGTGTACCCCTCCACTGTCTCCCGAGATAGACGGATGCCAACAAAACAACAGCAACATTATACACATCTATGCTGCAACCGCACTTGGCATACAGTGTACGGTTCTGGTTGCCTCACCTCAAAAAGGGTATTGCAGGGTTGGAAAAGGTTCAGGAAAGGGCCCCCAAAATGAGCAAGGGTTATAGCATTTGGGGCTTTTAAATTTATAGAAAAGGCACATAAGAAATCTGCATAGCATGAGAACTCAGTGACATCCCATGAAGCCAAGTGTTCGAGCCAGTGTGGTGGTGTGGTTAAGAGTGGAGCCAGTGTGGTGTAGTGGTTAAGAGCAGTAATCTTGTAATCTGGGGAACCGGGTTCTCGTCTCCGCTCCTTCACATGCAGCTGCTGGGTGACCTTGGGCCAGTCACACTTCTCTGAAGTCTCTCAGCCCCATTCACCTCACAGAGTGTTTGTTGTGGGGGAGGAAGGGAAAGGAGAATGTTAGCCACTTTGAGACTCCTTCGGGTAGTGATAAAGCGGGATATCAAATCCAAACTCTTCTTCTTCTTCTTCGAAGATTCAGGACAGGCAAAAGAAAATTCTTCTTCACACAGTGCATAGTTAAGCTATGGAACTCACTCCCACAAAAGGCAGGGATGGCCATGAACTTGGATAGCTTTAAAATAGGATTGTGCAAATTCATGGAGGATGAGGCTAGCAGTGGCTACTAGCCATGATGGTTATGCTCTGCCTCTGCAATTGGGAGCTGGAGCTGAAGGAACTGTCGTCCAAACTGGCCTTGCTGGCTGGGGTTGATGGGAATTGTAGTCCAAAATGTCTAGAGGGCACCAGGATGGGGAGGTAGTTGAACTTTTGCATGATCTCCAACATTTCACCAATGTAAACAGGGAAGTCCTATTCCATAATGATCATTTTACTGTTTATATGCCACACATCTTACTGAGTTGCCCCAGCCACTCTGGGCAGCTTAAAACATACAGTGGTACCTCAGGTTAAGTACTTAATTTGTTCTGGAGGTCCGTTCTTAACCTGAAACTGTTCTTAACCTGAAGCACTACTTTAACTAATGGGGCCTCCTGCTGCTGCCGCACCGCTGGAGCACAATTTCTGTGATCATCCTGAAGCAAAGTTCTTAACCCGAGGTACTATTTCTGGGTTAGCGGAGTCTGTAACCTGAAGCGTATGTAACCTGAAGCGTATGTAACCCGAGGTACCGCTGTATATAAAAACATACCATATTTTTCGCTCTATAACACGCACCCGACCATAACACGCACGTAGTTTTTAGAGGAGGAAAATCCGTAGGCATGCCACCCGTAGGCATTTCCTCCATAACGCGCACAGACATTTCCCCTTACTTTCTAGGAGGGAAAAAAGTGAGTGTTATGGTGCAAAAAATACGGTAATTAAACATTCAAAAAAACTTCTCTATACAGGATTGCCTTCAGATGGTTTGGGGGTCAGATAACCCCATACCCTCCAACATTTCTCCAATGAAAATAAAGATGTCCTAAGGAAAAGCAGGACATTCTGGCATCACATCAGAAACTAGGACAGCTTCTGTAAGTCACTGATGTCCTTGGAAAATAGGGACACTTGGAGGCTCTGCTTTTGGAACTTAGTATCTTCTCTGGCTTGTATTAACATTATTAGAACATATTCCAGGCTCTAAAAGCAGAATACACACACAGAGAGAAATGACTGGTGCAATTGTTGCCACAAATCACTGTTAAACCCGGCACCCAGCTGGGGAAGATGGTTTAGAAATCTACTAAATAGATAGATAACAAATAAATGTCATGAATTCAGAGCCAAAACCCAAAGGTCCCTATTTCCAGAACATGTGGCAGGTGGACCAAGAAAAGGGTATCTGAGGATGATTTTGAGTTCTGGGGATTCTTGAGTTCTCTGTTTCTGCTTCTCTCTGTTTGAGAGCCAGTGGTGGTATAGTGGTTAGAGTGTTGGACTATGACCTGAGAGACCAGGGTTCAAATCCTCACTCGGCCATAAAGCTCCCTGGGTGACCTTGGGCCAGTCACTGCATATCTCAGCCTAACCTACCTCACAGGGTTGTTGTGGGGATTAAATGGGGAGAGAGAGAGCCATGCGTGCCACTTGGAGTTCACTGGAGGAACAAGTGGAACATTAATCTAATCAATCACTCACTCAATCAGTAAAAGTAAACATAGTTCCATTTCCAAACAAAGGCACTCTGCAGTGATCAGAGGCACTTTGCCCTTAGTAAAGGTAAAGGGACCCCTGACCATTAGGTCCAGTCAGTTGCGTAGTGTGGGTTGTCAGCACCCGGGGCAAGGCAAGTAATTTGCGCCCCCTAACCCGTGGATTTGCGCCCCCTAACCCTAACCTCCAGATGTTGCGCCCGGTGCGGCCACCCCCCCCTGCACCCTCCACGCTACGCCACTGGGTCCAGTCGTGGCCGACTCTGGGGTTGCGGCGCTCATCTTGCTTTATTGGCCGAGGGAGCCGGCGTACAGCTTCTGGGTCATGTGGCCAGCCTGACTAAGCTGCTTCTGGCGAACCAGAGCAGCGCACAGAAACGGCATTTACCTTCCCGCCTATTTATCTACTTGCACTTTGACGTGCTTTCGAACTGCTAGGTTGGCAGGAGCAGGGACTGAGCAACAGGAGCTCACCCTGTCATGGGGATTCGAACCGCCGACCTTCTGATCGGCAAGTCCTAGCCTGTGGTTTAACCCACAGCACCACTCACATCCCTAGTACTATGCCTTTAGAGCAAAAGAAAAAGTTCATCATTTGGGTAGTGGAGGGTATGTTGCATAAGCACAGAGGCACTCAGGGAGAGTGGCCAACATTTCAGAAACCAAAAGATGGGGAACCCTGGACTAGGACTCCTACCAGCCTCAGCAAACATGGGTTCCCCACCTGCTAGTGCTGGGGCCTGA